AACCCGGGCCGCCCGCGTGGCAGGCGAGCATTCTACCACTGAACCACCGATGCTTATAACTACTTAGTGTTTAACTTGATCATATATGGACACATGTTACCTGATATGTATGGTATATAGCATGTTAATCATACTGACGTTGTCGGCAGAAACGCGACACAAATATATTTGACAAGAGGAAATCGACGTTAATTTAGATCCCATCTGTTCAGCCGCAGTGTAATCGCAGCTCGTGGTTGAAATATAATGACCAGAAATATGCTACTGTCGGCTTCGTGTATAATTTGAAACTTACCGTGGTTAAAATCGTGATATGAAAAGGGGGAGGGATAATTAATCAAGTCTTTCAAAGGAGAATTAATAGCGAAATGAAAAATTCTGTAACGTGACATGATTTTCAGTTGTGGTTTCATATGGCAGACACATATTAGACATTGATTCAACTGTATAGTCGACTCAGTATGGCACATATATATGTTTGAATGCATTATTATGCTGAATAAATGCGCCTTTATATTGAACGGTTTCTGCTTCCGATATTTACAACCTGGTAAAATTGTGTGAGCTTTGAATACTCTCCTGTCAGGCTGTCAGCTGAATCATATTTATCATATGTTGACACAATCATAAATGTATTAGGCTCGGCAAGAACGCTTTAATATATAGCTTAATTTTAGCTTGTTATACTAAGTCCGATGTGGTCTAGTGGTTAGGATTTCTGGTTTTCACCCAGACGGCCCGGGTTCGATTCCCGGCGTCGGAGCTTTAATTTTTTTGTGATCGGGTGAAACATGTAACATTTCATGAAAAAGATGAAAAAAGGATTTACAGAATCATCTAAGCGAAATAAATTGCAATTAATTCTCGCAGCATATATTATCATGCAGTTTGCATCTTCCACAGTGATGTGCCTTCAAGTGTCAATGAAACCGAGACCGGAATGAGATGGGTGACCATCACACCTACATAAGAATGTTCTTTCGCAAATAATGATTTTCTGTTTTAAAGTCATGTTGATGTTTATGCATTTCTTGTCATTTAGTCTGTTGTTATGACATCATCCCATCGGGGTATAAGTTAGATACAATAACTTAATTTCCTGTGTTTGCTACTCTAGCTCTACGATTCCTCTCCACTACTTAATCGCAGAACAGGAGCTATTCACTCCTGGCACACTTATACAGTGCGTTATCAACAATTTATTTGTATAGTGTTCAAGATTGACCTCTGAAGAGAGAGGAGTATATTTGAAATGATAGTATCAGATAAATTTCTCTTGGCGTGAATTTACATGGATGCACAACTATCCATGGATGATACAGTTATGTGCCGCGTACTCTATTGGCCGCTAATCAATTGAAAACTTTGAAAGAGACGAAAAAAGAAATGCATCGGCCGGGAATCGAACCCGGGCCGCCCGCGTGGCAGGCGAGCATTCTACCACTGAACCACCGATGCTTATAACTACTTAGTGTTTAACTTGATCATATATGGACACATGTTACCTGATATGTATGGTATATAGCATGTTAATCATACTGACGTTGTCGGCAGAAACGCGACACAAATATATTTGACAAGAGGAAATCGACGTTAATTTAGATCCCATCTGTTCAGCCGCAGTGTAATCGCAGCTCGTGGTTGAAATATAATGACCAGAAATATGCTACTGTCGGCTTCGTGTATAATTTGAAACTTACCGTGGTTAAAATCGTGATATGAAAAGGGGGAGGGATAATTAATCAAGTCTTTCAAAGGAGAATTAATAGCGAAATGAAAAATTCTGTAACGTGACATGATTTTCAGTTGTGGTTTCATATGGCAGACACATATTAGTCATTGATTCAACTGTATAGTCGACTCAGTATGGCACATATATATGTTTGAATGCATTATTATGCTGAATAAATGCGCCTTTATATTGAACGGTTTCTGCTTCCGATATTTACAACCTGGTAAAATTGTGTGAGCTTTGAATACTCTCCTGTCAGGCTGTCAGCTGAATCATATTTATCATATGTTGACACAATCATAAATGTATTAGGCTCGGTAAGAACGCTTTAATATATAGCTTAATTTTAGCTTGTTATACTAAGTCCGATGTGGTCTAGTGGTTAGGATTTCTGGTTTTCACCCAGACGGCCCGGGTTCGATTCCCGGCGTCGGAGCTTTAATTTTTTTGTGATCGGGTGAAACATGTAACATTTCATGAAAAAGATGAAAAAAGGATTCACAGAATCATCTAAGCGAAATAAATTGCAATTAATTCTCGCAGCATATATTATCATGCAGTTTGCATCTTCCACAGTGATGTGCCTTCAAGTGTCAATGAAACCGAGACCGGAATGAGATGGGTGACCATCACACCTACATAAGAATGTTCTTTCGCAAATAATGATTTTCTGTTTTAAAGTCATGTTGATGTTTATGCATTTCTTGTCATTTAGTCTGTTGTTATGACATCATCCCATCGGGGTATAAGTTAGATACAATAACTTAATTTCCTGTGTTTGCTACTCTAGCTCTACGATTCCTCTCCACTACTTAATCGCAGAACAGGAGCTATTCACTCCTGGCACACTTATACAGTGCGTTATCAACAATTTATTTGTATAGTGTTCAAGATTGACCTCTGAAGAGAGAGGAGTATATTTGAAATGATAGTATCAGATAAATTTCTCTTGGCGTGAATTTACATGGATGCACAACTATCCATGGATGATACAGTTATGTGCCGCGTACTCTATTGGCCGCTAATCAATTGAAAACTTTGAAAGAGACGAAAAAAGAAATGCATCGGCCGGGAATCGAACCCGGGCCGCCCGCGTGGCAGGCGAGCATTCTACCACTAAACCACCGATGCTTATAACTACTTAGTGTTTAACTTGATCATATATGGACACATGTTACCTGATATGTATGGTATATAGCATGTTAATCATACTGACGTTGTCGGCAGAAACGCGACACAAATATATTTGACAAGAGGAAATCGACGTTAATTTAGATCCCATCTGTTCAGCCGCAGTGTAATCGCAGCTCGTGGTTGAAATATAATGACCAGAAATATGCTACTGTCGGCTTCGTGTATAATTTGAAACTTACCGTGGTTAAAATCGTGATATGAAAAGGGGGAGGGATAATTAATCAAGTCTTTCAAAGGAGAATTAATAGCGAAATGAAAAATTCTGTAACGTGACATGATTTTCAGTTGTGGTTTCATATGGCAGACACATATTAGTCATTGATTCAACTGTATAGTCGACTCAGTATGGCACATATATATGTTTGAATGCATTATTATGCTGAATAAATGCGCCTTTATATTGAACGGTTTCTGCTTCCGATATTTACAACCTGGTAAAATTGTGTGAGCTTTGAATACTCTCCTGTCAGGCTGTCAGCTGAATCATATTTATCATATGTTGACACAATCATAAATGTATTAGGCTCGGCAAGAACGCTTTAATATATAGCTTAATTTTAGCTTGTTATACTAAGTCCGATGTGGTCTAGTGGTTAGGATTTCTGGTTTTCACCCAGACGGCCCGGGTTCGATTCCCGGCGTCGGAGCTTTAATTTTTTTGTGATCGGGTGAAACATGTAACATTTCATGAAAAAGATGAAAAAAGGATTCACAGAATCATCTAAGCGAAATAAATTGCAATTAATTCTCGCAGCATATATTATCATGCAGTTTGCATCTTCCACAGTGATGTGCCTTCAAGTGTCAATGAAACCGAGACCGGAATGAGATGGGTGACCATCACACCTACATAAGAATGTTCTTTCGCAAATAATGATTTTCTGTTTTAAAGTCATGTTGATGTTTATGCATTTCTTGTCATTTAGTCTGTTGTTATGACATCATCCCATCGGGGTATAAGTTAGATACAATAACTTAATTTCCTGTGTTTGCTACTCTAGCTCTACGATTCCTCTCCACTACTTAATCGCAGAACAGGAGCTATTCACTCCTGGCACACTTATACAGTGCGTTATCAACAATTTATTTGTATAGTGTTCAAGATTGACCTCTGAAGAGAGAGGAGTATATTTGAAATGATAGTATCAGATAAATTTCTCTTGGCGTGAATTTACATGGATGCACAACTATCCATGGATGATACAGTTATGTGCCGCGTACTCTATTGGCCGCTAATCAATTGAAAACTTTGAAAGAGACGAAAAAAGAAATGCATCGGCCGGGAATCGAACCCGGGCCGCCCGCGTGGCAGGCGAGCATTCTACCACTGAACCACCGATGCTTATAACTACTTAGTATTTAACTTGATCATATATGGACACATGTTACCTGATATGTATGGTATATAGCATGTTAATCATACTGACGTTGTCGGCAGAAACGCGACACAAATATATTTGACAAGAGGAAATCGACGTTAATTTAGATCCCATCTGTTCAGCCGCAGTGTAATCGCAGCTCGTGGTTGAAATATAATGACCAGAAATATGCTACTGTCGGCTTCGTGTATAATTTGAAACTTACCGTGGTTAAAATCGTGATATGAAAAGGGGGAGGGATAATTAATCAAGTCTTTCAAAGGAGAATTAATAGCGAAATGAAAAATTCTGTAACGTGACATGATTTTCAGTTGTGGTTTCATATGGCAGACACATATTACCCAGCAAACACACAACATTTTAAAAACATTTTTTAAATGTCATATGGACGTCTCTCACAAAATATTTCAATAAGATATCAGTTAAACATAAAAAAAATGTTTATTTTATTGTTTTTGAAATGTTTTATTTCTAACATTTAAGTAAAATGTTTTTACAACATTAACAAAATATTATTTGCTAATATCTTTTATTCATGTTCTCAAACATTGTTCTAAAATATCCCGTAGATATTTTATAATATAAAACAAATAATATTTTCTTCAATTGGTATTTTATATTTTAACAACATTTAGAGTAAATATTTTCCAAATATCCAAAAAACATTCTGCAAAAAAATGTTTTACAGAAAATATAGTTTTGCTATTTGCATAAAATGTTTTATAACGTAAAATTAAAATGTTTTACATAAAACATCTGAAAAATATCAGCTAAATGTTTTCTTTAAAATATTTTGACATACACATTACTTAATAGCCTTACTGATATTTTATTCAACATTTTACGGATATAAAAATAACATTTTATTTAAACTTTATTCAAAACCCCACAAACAACGTTTTGTGGAATTAGCTCGTTTTTTTCAGGATAAGATATAGTACTACATTTCATGACAAGCAAGATACTATGGTTGAAATCCTTAATTGATATCTTGAAGATCCTTGAAGTCAGATTTTATTCCTTCTTATATTAAAATTCAAAAGAGTCAACATTAAATTAAGCAATAATGTATAGATAAACAATCACCGTTCTTTAATGTTTATTCATTTCGTTCGTGTATATTTTAGAAATTAAGAAATGAAAACTGTAACTGTACTAAGTTCAATTTTCGTATCGTTTATATGCCTTACGGAAAACCGACCTTTTCCGGAATCGACTTTTGTTTTATCACCGGAATTGATTTTGAAATTTGAATTTCGAAACGAAGACAGGATATCAACAAAGAGAGCCAAGAAAATTGTTTGTTACGCGATATATACTCACTTGGTAAGAATGATTAATCTGTTAAGATGAAACTTGTGCATTCATTGTGTGTGTTCAATCATAATCGGAACCAAATTACATCTGTTTCTGGAGGTGCGGATCAAGGTTTTGAAAAAAAGGGGGCCCCTGCCCAAGGCAAGCAAACGTTTGGAGTGATACTTGTAAATAGTCTATACATTTATCTTATAAGTAGCTCCATAAGGGGGTCGGGGCCCCTAAATCCGCCACTGTTCAAGCATCTACGTACACCAATTATGAATTTGTTCATTGATATAAAAATATTATAAGGATATGTGGCTTGTGTGTTTGAATTGATTGCCAATACACCTTATCGCTATTTGTCCGCCATTACTGGCCATGGACATCACAAAAGTTCCCGTAAAATGTTGACGTCATATTAGAAAATATTTGACACCACAATTGAAAGTAATACACCTTATCACTATTTGTCCGCCATTACTGGACATCACACAACTGTCACAAGTTCCCTTAAAATTTTGACATCATCATAAAAAATATCTGATGCCACAATGGAAAAGTGATTGTTGTTTGACATCAAAAGTTCAAGCAGGATAGATTCTCGGGTCAAGCGGGAATAGCGATAAGGTGTATTATTGTATGACGTATGCTGACGTAAAAAGTTCAAGCGGGACAGATTTCCAAATACTGAAATAGCGATAAGGTGTATGAGACAGCTATCCACCAGAATTTAAATGACTTGGATAAAAGAAATTATAAGTCACTGTACGGCTTTCAAAACTGAGAAAACCAATGCCATATAGTCCACTTTGAAGCCTTGACAAACAAATGTTAAATTTTTCTCAACACAATTGAAACAAAACAACTAACTGCATACATTAAATACATACATGTATTATGAAAAAGAAATTTGACAGACTTAAACCAGTCAGGGATATAACTCTATAGGGTTATTACAGAAAAATAACATACATTTGTTACTGTGGACTGAAAAATCAAAGAACTGTGATAACATATGTATGTTACATGTTTCAAAGGGACAATATACATCATTAGTTTAGTTAAAATGTATGCAAGTTCTATTGATATTACTATTGTCTTTATGTATACTTAACTATAGAAAGATATAACAGTTCATAGTTTGACAATTTTGAATAGTATACCTATGTTATTACAGAAAATATATGCCTGTAATAACTAAAGGGTGTTATCACAGCTTCTCTATATCACTCCAAAGCATTTGCTGAGACATACATCATGCGTAATTACAATGTATTTTAATTTATTGTAAGAAATAATGACCAGAGCATGTAATGAGGTTCTGCCAAGCTTCCCAGTGATTCCCAAGTGTCTCATATAATAAGTTACATTCCTTTAATAACTAAGCCTTGTTATTACAGCTAAGTTTATCCCTTAAAAGCCTTGTCTCATTGATTTACCATGGTTAATCAAAAATGTATTAATTTAATTTAAAAATTAGTTATCAAGGCTATGCATTTAGTTTCTGCGCAAAGTCTCAAGAGTTCCCTAGAGCCCACTATAAATTAAAATATTTTTGATTTATTTTACAAATAACAAACATATGTTATTACAGATTTAGAAAATTTAAGGAATAAAGAGTAGATAACTCATGAAAGTATCTGTAATAACACACGCAAGTTATTTTCTGTAATAACCCTATAGAGTAATATCTCTGACTGTAAACCAACAACAACTATTGCAATAAGCATGACTCAATACCTTGTTTCCGAGGCACACAAACAAGTTACAATAACACTAATATAAGCACCATTTGAATATGGAGATTTTTTTTTCTAGTAAAATCAGTGTATGTATGTATTTGCAAAACAGTAAATTAAATTTCCCTTAACAGCTTAATGAACATTACAAAGACTATGTAAGACTTCAGCACAAGCAAGATAATATAAACTGTTGCTTAAAACTATATTTATTGCTTCATACACACAATGTATATACTATGTATCTTTTATTTTTTAACAGGAGCTAAAAGAAAAGCCACAAAGGACAAGTTCAATATGCAGGTTTACAATTTGGAAGTGGCGCAGGTTCTTTGTAATGTCTACAACCTTTCAGGAGAATTTTTTTTTGAAGTAAGATTTTCATACAGAATTACTGTTATTCCATATTTAATTCAAATATTTAGCATACACAATGCATTACATTCAAGATTAAGGGCATACAATACAGAAAAGATATCTGGATATTTGAATAAATTATATTTTTTGTGACAAAATAGAAACAAGTTGTTTATTTAAATCAATCTTTTAGTCCAACAGTGTGCTTTCATAAACATATTTGCTTTCCTTTGAAGTATTTCAAATACATACATGTATAAACAACTCATTTAATGACATCTGTGTGTTTCTCGGAAGTTAAGTTATATTATTATCATCATTGCAAAAACAATGCGTAACACTTCGATAAGTTATTATGTGCCTATAGTATACTTCTAGGACTGTATCATATGCCCTTAGATACAAATGACAAGTTATAAACTATGTCACTCTACAGAGTTTAACACTTAAAAAGGACAATAAGATGTTTAATGACATTATGTAGCAGGGCTTTTAAAGGCCCTTACATGATACAATGCATTTAATGAAAACTAAAAAAAACCAAGAAAAACAACAGCCTGATTTATACAAAACAATAAAAGAAAAAAAAATATGATAGACAACAATCAACGAGTATAATGAAATAAGACTCTGGACTGGACACATATCTAGTCTAAAGTTTTTTATGTGTTTTTTTTTAATAACTAAATGAAGTTCAGCGTGGCATATTGCTCTCTCTTAACACGGTCAGCCATTTATAGTCCCCTTCCGACAGACTATCATCGTTATTTGTTTCAAAACTTTAAAGGGGAGGGGATGTATATCCTTCAGGCAACTTGAATCGTTCTATAATAAAGGAATGTGCAAGAAGTTCATATATGAATGTAAGATTAATTTTTTTTTCAGAAGCATGGCACAGCAAGAAAAAGATATAAGACACTACAAGACATTCCTAGTGATTTTGAATAAGACAATTGATTGACTTTTTCAATTTATTCTTAAATAAATCAAATAGTTGATGTAAAATGGTGTTTTGTTCTCATCTGTTCAGCCAATTATCAATGATTATTGACTTAAGATGTAACCCTATTAGAAGTGTAGCGTTTTAGTTTAGAAAGAGAAGTTGTATTGAGAAATCTGAATTTGGGACACAAGTTTTAGTCAATGTAACTTGAACTTAAAAATGTGTATAATATTTGCATAATGTCCAATGGCATATATGTCATGCATGTTCAGGTTGACATATGCATGATGTGTATAAGATAGGTAATAAAAGTTGAGAGTGAAAAACTAAACATTATACCATTGTGGTTGGAATGTGGGTTTTCTTGCACTGTCTGTCATCTGTCCACCTATATTTGTCGGATTTTGTCCAACAAATATTTTCATCAAGTGCTGTTTTTCACAAAACTGCTGATAAAGATGAGTTCATATTTAATGAGCTGCTTGATAGTGATGAACTGTGATGTGTGAACATTTTTGTATCTGGCACCTGTTTCCTGTTTGCTTATACTTTGTATTTCAAAATTTTGAATGTTCTCAAATTTTTCATTACTTTAATTAGTAATGCTGATGAACAGAATGACTTCATATTTGGTAAGTGGCTTGACCATGATGAGTTGTGTCTGCCATTTTGGATGTGTCAAAATTTGTAGATACTTCTTGTTTTTAGAGACTTTGAATTGTGAATTTCATATGCTTAGCAAAACAACTGATTTATTCTTGTTTGTATACATGTATAGAATTAATCACTGTGTATAAATTAATTTAACTAATGATTTGTTATTTAAAAAAGCAGGAAACTCAATTAAAAGTACAGACATTTTTTTATTGATATGATCTAGATATCAACCAAAAACATCTTCTTAACAGTCTCACTTGCAAGAAAACATCCAAAAAACATTTTTATAACATTATTTGATGTTCATGATATTTTTCAAACGTTCAGAAAATATTTCTAGAAAATATTTTTTTAAAAGATTATCAAAATGTTTTATACGCCATTGTTTTTCACATTATCATGATATTTCTTTACAACATTTTAATTATATTATGCAAATATTTTAGAAAATATATTAGAAAACGTTTTAGCGATATATATTCTACCATACATTTAATGTTTTTCTCACGTTTTTTTGTGATATTTTCATGACATTAGACACAACATTTTAAAAACATTTTAAAGATGTTTTTGTGTTTGCTGGGTAGTCATTGATTCAACTGTATAGTCGACTCAGTATGGCACATATATATGTTTGAATGCATTATTATGCTGAATAAATGCGCCTTTATATTGAACGGTTTCTGCTTCCGATATTTACAACCTGGTAAAATTGTGTGAGCTTTGAATACTCTCCTGTCAGGCTGTCAGCTGAATCATATTTATCATATGTTGACACAATCATAAATGTATTAGGCTCGGCAAGAACGCTTTAATATATAGCTTAATTTTAGCTTGTTATACTAAGTCCGATGTGGTCTAGTGGTTAGGATTTCTGGTTTTCACCCAGACGGCCCGGGTTCGATTCCCGGCGTCGGAGCTTTAATTTTTTTGTGATCGGGTGAAACATGTAACATTTCATGAAAAAGATGAAAAAAGGATTCACAGAATCATCTAAGCGAAATAAATTGCAATTAATTCTCGCAGCATATATTATCATGCAGTTTGCATCTTCCACAGTGATGTGCCTTCAAGTGTCAATGAAACCGAGACCGGAATGAGATGGGTGACCATCACACCTACATAAGAATGTTCTTTCGCAAATAATGATTTTCTGTTTTAAAGTCATGTTGATGTTTATGCATTTCTTGTCATTTAGTCTGTTGTTATGACATCATCCCATCGGGGTATAAGTTAGATACAATAACTTAATTTCCTGTGTTTGCTACTCTAGCTCTACGATTCCTCTCCACTACTTAATCGCAGAACAGGAGCTATTCACTCCTGGCACACTTATACAGTGCGTTATCAACAATTTATTTGTATAGTGTTCAAGATTGACCTCTGAAGAGAGAGGAGTATATTTGAAATGATAGTATCAGATAAATTTCTCTTGGCGTGAATTTACATGGATGCACAACTATCCATGGATGATACAGTTATGTGCCGCGTACTCTATTGGCCGCTAATCAATTGAAAACTTTGAAAGAGACGAAAAAAGAAATGCATCGGCCGGGAATCGAACCCGGGCCGCCCGCGTGGCAGGCGAGCATTCTACCACTGAACCACCGATGCTTATAACTACTTAGTGTTTAACTTGATCATATATGGACACATGTTACCTGATATGTATGGTATATAGCATGTTAATCATACTGACGTTGTCGGCAGAAACGCGACACAAATATATTTGACAAGAGGAAATCGACGTTAATTTAGATCCCATCTGTTCAGCCGCAGTGTAATCGCAGCTCGTGGTTGAAATATAATGACCAGAAATATGCTACTGTCGGCTTCGTGTATAATTTGAAACTTACCGTGGTTAAAATCGTGATATGAAAAGGGGGAGGGATAATTAATCAAGTCTTTCAAAGGAGAATTAATAGCGAAATGAAAAATTCTGTAACGTGACATGATTTTCAGTTGTGGTTTCATATGGCAGACACATATTAGACATTGATTCAACTGTATAGTCGACTCAGTATGGCACATATATATGTTTGAATGCATTATTATGCTGAATAAATGCGCCTTTATATTGAACGGTTTCTGCTTCCGATATTTACAACCTGGTAAAATTGTGTGAGCTTTGAATACTCTCCTGTCAGGCTGTCAGCTGAATCATATTTATCATATGTTGACACAATCATAAATGTATTAGGCTCGGCAAGAACGCTTTAATATATAGCTTAATTTTAGCTTGTTATACTAAGTCCGATGTGGTCTAGTGGTTAGGATTTCTGATTTTCACCCAGACGGCCCTGGTTCGATTCCCGGCGTCGGAGCTTTAATTTTTTTGTGATCGGGTGAAACATGTAACATTTCATGAAAAAGATGAAAAAAGGATTCACAGAATCATCTAAGCGAAATAAATTGCAATTAATTCTCGCAGCATATATTATCATGCAGTTTGCATCTTCCACAGTGATGTGCCTTCAAGTGTCAATGAAACCGAGACCGGAATGAGATGGGTGACCATCACACCTACATAAGAATGTTCTTTCGCAAATAATGATTTTCTGTTTTAAAGTCATGTTGATGTTTATGCATTTCTTGTCATTTAGTCTGTTGTTATGACATCATCCCATCGGGGTATAAGTTAGATACAATAACTTAATTTCCTGTGTTTGCTACTCTAGCTCTACGATTCCTCTCCACTACTTAATCGCAGAACAGGAGCTATTCACTCCTGGCACACTTATACAGTGCGTTATCAACAATTTATTTGTATAGTGTTCAAGATTGACCTCTGAAGAGAGAGGAGTATATTTGAAATGATAGTATCAGATAAATTTCTCTTGGCGTGAATTTACATGGATGCACAACTATCCATGGATGATACAGTTATGTGCCGCGTACTCTATTGGCCGCTAATCAATTGAAAACTTTGAAAGAGACGAAAAAAGAAATGCATCGGCCGGGAATCGAACCCGGGCCGCCCGCGTGGCAGGCGAGCATTCTACCACTGAACCACCGATGCTTATAACTACTTAGTGTTTAACTTGATCATATATGGACACATGTTACCTGATATGTATGGTATATAGCATGTTAATCATACTGACGTTGTCGGCAGAAACGCGACACAAATATATTTGACAAGAGGAAATCGACGTTAATTTAGATCCCATCTGTTCAGCCGCAGTGTAATCGCAGCTCGTGGTTGAAATATAATGACCAGAAATATGCTACTGTCGGCTTCGTGTATAATTTGAAACTTACCGTGGTTAAAATCGTGATATGAAAAGGGGGAGGGATAATTAATCAAGTCTTTCAAAGGAGAATTAATAGCGAAATGAAAAATTCTGTAACGTGACATGATTTTCAGTTGTGGTTTCATATGGCAGACACATATTAGACATTGATTCAACTGTATAGTCGACTCAGTATGGCACATATATATGTTTGAATGCATTATTATGCTGAATAAATGCGCCTTTATATTGAACGGTTTCTGCTTCCGATATTTACAACCTGGTAAAATTGTGTGAGCTTTGAATACTCTCCTGTCAGGCTGTCAGCTGAATCATATTTATCATATGTTGACACAATCATAAATGTATTAGGCTCGGCAAGAACGCTTTAATATATAGCTTAATTTTAGCTTGTTATACTAAGTCCGATGTGGTCTAGTGGTTAGGATTTCTGGTTTTCACCCAGACGGCCCGGGTTCGATTCCCGGCGTCGGAGCTTTAATTTTTTTGTGATCGGGTGAAACATGTAACATTTCATGAAAAAGATGAAAAAAGGATTCACAGAATCATCTAAGCGAAATAAATTGCAATTAATTCTCGCAGCATATATTATCATGCAGTTTGCATCTTCCACAGTGATGTGCCTTCAAGTGTCAATGAAACCGAGACCGGAATGAGATGGGTGACCATCACACCTACATAAGAATGTTCTTTCGCAAATAATGATTTTCTGTTTTAAAGTCATGTTGATGTTTATGCATTTCTTGTCATTTAGTCTGTTGTTATGACATCATCCCATCGGGGTATAAGTTAGATACAATAACTTAATTTCCTGTGTTTGCTACTCTAGCTCTACGATTCCTCTCCACTACTTAATCGCAGAACAGGAGCTATTCACTCCTGGCACACTTATACAGTGCGTTATCAACAATTTATTTGTATAGTGTTCAAGATTGACCTCTGAAGAGAGAGGAGTATATTTGAAATGATAGTATCACATAAATTTCTCTTGGCGTGAATTTACATGGATGCACAACTATCCATGGATGATACAGTTATGTGCCGCGTACTCTATTGGCCGCTAATCAATTGAAAACTTTGAAAGAGACGAAAAAAGAAATGCATCGGCCGGGAATCGAACCCGGGCCGCCCGCGTGGCAGGCGAGCATTCT